TATTATTATTATTATTATTATTATTATTATTATTATTATTATTATTACTATTACTACTACTACTTATAATTATTATCATGTTAAAATAACCAAAAATGAACGTTAGTAATTATCCTTAAATGTAGCATTAGGCTAGGAATGTCTTATTATAAATTAATTTTTTTAAAAATATATTAATTATTGATTAAATAAAAGTGTTATGTTAACATAACATACTCGTAATATTACATTTAAGTAAATATAAAAACTAAGAACGCACCTTATCTATTAAATTTTCATTTGCTCCAGCTTTAATAAGTCTGTTATAAATTGGTGTAATATTTTTTGATGGTGCAATAAAAACATAATGTAGAGGTGTTCTACCATCGTTATCTCTCATATTCACTATTTTCGAGTTTTTAGATAAAATGAAATCAACAATTTCAAGCCGACCCAATCCTGTTGCCTAAAAGTATTATTTATAAATTAAATGTTAAATTGTATACAACATTTTTATAGTTGATAAATTATATGCTTAACTTTATTCTAACCTTATGCAATGGATTTAATCCATTTTTATCTTTACTAGATAAAATGTCTTCAGGGACAGGTTCACGATTCAGTTTTTTTAACAATGTAAGGTTATCGTCAATAACAGCTTTATGAATTTCTTTGATGATACCCTTTACAATTGGGATAATAATAAAATAAATATATTTTTAGAAACCAAAATTATTATTTATTGAAAAAAAGTTACCATTATATGTGGCACAGCTTTCAAAAACTTGTTTACAGATGTTTGTTTGCTAGTTTCAGTTAATAACTTATCTCCATTGCCAGACCAAATCACCTTTGCAAGTTGTTTTATATTACGCTCATGTATCCAAATCCTAATATTAGAAAGTTTTATTGGAACGTCTATGAAAAAAATTATATTTAATCAGCTTGTTTTACAAAAAATAGTGGTTTTAATAAAATCATACACTCAATAATACACTATCATTGAAATTCTTAGTTAATTAAAATATAAACCACACCTATTTCTAACCGATAATGATTATTCATAAGAACAAACTTGTCTCTATTATCAAATATAATATACATTGAATAATAACAAAAAAGTAGTTTTATTATTAAAATCCCAATGGGCCGAGTTAAATCAAAATGACGAATACTTAACAAAGTTATGTCAAATAAACAAAACGAGAGTCCAAAGAATGTTAAGTAATTCAACCAAATGAGTATAATCAGCATTCCAATTTATAATGTTTAATTTCAAAATTTAACATTTAACTTTAAGATTCATTGACCGTTACATGTTTAAAAATCATTCTAAAATTTAGAAATAAGCTATATTATTATATTTATATTCAGAGTAATTTAAAAATCTAAGTATAATTTGTTCATTTCATATCAATAAATAACATTTTATTTAAAGATCACAATTTCCATAAGTTCGTAATTTAGCAATATTAATACAAGAATATTTTATAAATATAGCAATTTGATGAAATAACAATACGGTTTTCTTGTTATCTTATTTTTATGTTTTTTGAATAAAAAAAATTACTTTTATGATTTAAATAACTTTCAAGTTATTACCTTTATTGCTATTTTTATATTGTTCTTAATTTAATATGTTTAAGATAAAATACTATTGGTGAAAATAGCAAAATATTGAACGTATTTTTAAATTACAATTACTATAACTATTACTATTACTATAACTACTATCTATAGGCTGTAAAGTTAGACTTTGTTTTAGTGTTATATTATCTATATACAATAATATAAAATTATCAATAATTACATGACATCTTAAAGCGATTAAAAACCAAGTTTTCTTATTATATAATACAATTTTCAAATTAAAAAGTTATAAAAATTATTTAATCAAAACTTTTGTTTTATTTTAGATGTGCAATTTAAATAAAATTTAATTTCATATCGTACACGACTTTACAAGTCTAGACATACTCGTACAGTCTAAGAAAAAAAATGTAATTTTGTATTCTCCAAATATTATTAATTCAGGAAGATCATATAATTTTTATTTAAGTCTTAACTTACACATATCAATTTACTATCAAAAAATTATTTATATGAAGATCAAAAAAAAGTAATATTTTTTAGAAAAATACATTTTAATAACACAAAATTTCAAGTTTCAGCACTTATTTGTTTTAAAAAAGTTATCATAATTGTATTAATATTATAACAATAATTATAAAAAATTTTTATATTTTTTTTTTGGTATATCGAAACATTTGATAGATAATCAATATAATCGAAAATCATAAAATACTAAATATGTTCATTTTCAAATTTAAACTTTGCATGTAAGTTTTAGTACAGATTTACTTCGTAAATATAAGATAACAGAAAAAAAACAAAATCATTTAAAATGAATTGACTATGTTAACTTTGCTTAAATCTAAAAAAAAAACATATCGTTTCAAGACCAAAATTACATTTTTGATGATATTACTTGAATTTCGAGAAAATTTACTAATAATAGTATAAACTTCTTGAATATTTTTTATATACTCAATTAATTATAATATTTTATATTTAATTAGATACTTATAAACATAAGTAAATAAATATAACATAATATATACTGGTACTATTTAATATGTGTAATTTATTACATTTTTCATCCATACTAAATTAATATATCCTGTATAAATTAAAATACCTTGATCTAAACATTCACTTTTTGAATTATTAGGTAGTGTTATATTCTCACTATACTCTAAATAATACAACGGTGTCTTATTATTTATATCCAATGTATTAGGATCAGCACCAGCTTCCAACATTAAATCCCAAATTCTTGTAACTTCTGAACAGGAACATATATAATGTAATGGAATTCTCAAAGTCTAAAAATATTTAAAAAATTATATTTTGTATAACAGAATGAAATAACACTATCTTTATCAATTTTACCCAAAACAAATTTAAATTAAGTTGAATAAGTATAAATGTGCTTTTTTTGAAATATAGTTAGTATAGCAATTAATTTATATTTTTACAAAATGTCCAAAGAATGATTTATGTAAATAAATCGTCCAAAAAAACTACGTTGACATTGATAGAATATGAATTTATCGTACCTATCTAAAGTTTAATATATGATTTTTAGTTTTTTTTTTTTTTTTGTCTTTTAATTCATACTGATACTTTAATCAATACCGACAATTGAAATATAATAGCGTATAAACTAGAACATGATTAAATAAATGGTTAAAACTTTCAACTGATTAAAATCTTAATTTATCTCTAAACAAAACTTTATGTAGGTACAAGAATAAATTTATTTATAAACTGTGATCTGTATTTGTGTCGAAACTAAAGATTTTTTATAAATTTATAATAATAAATGAAAAGTTTAAAATTAATATAATTTATTGGGTGTATTTTAAAATAATATTCAACTCTGTGTTTATGTCTATCTCATAAGTAACTAGTTTTGTGCATATGTATTAATTAAAATGATACGACCAAGTGTTTAATATATATATAAAACCTGAATATGATAAAAATTTGGTTAAAAAATGTTGAAGAATCTGCGGCTACCTTAAAATTCATAAGTACCTATATGTTACAGGAAAAGTCGCAAAATGTCTAAGCTAATCGCACTAAATCGCACATAGTTACTATAAATCACTCATTAAACTAATATATATTTAATGGTATTAGTACTTTATCCTTAATATGAACCGTTTGAGGATAGTTCTTAACAAGCCACTCAATAATATCTAAAAAGTCATAATACACGGCCTTGTGTAATACAGTTACTCCGTTTAAATCTTTACTGCAAACTAATTTCGTAGGTGTAATTTTATAAATGTTTCTGGTCGAATTTCCATTTTTTAATAAAACTTGCATATCTCTTAAGTTTCCTTTGCATGCAGAGTCTTGCAACATATCAATCCGAGCCTAAAACACAAATAATATAGTATTTATATTGATAGTAATATTAAGTCTTCCATTAAATGTATTGATATCAAAACTTCAACAACATAATAACATCCATTATTTAAAATTTAACTAACATATTATAAACTTATACTTTATTCAGTAATCAAAAAAGACATCAAATTATATATTTTTGATAATAAAATATGTAAAAACCTGTTTCGTTTTTATGGTGATTAACGCAAAAATTACAATTTAAACAAAAGTAAATTTGAAAAATAATAAATTTTATACAGAAAAAAAAAAAAGTTAAATAATTGATTATATTATAAACATAATTGAAATAAAAACTGTTTATTCCTTTTTTTATTTTCTAATCAATTAAAAAAATTTTAATTTTTCTAATCAAAAATATATTTAATTCAAAACGGCTGCTGAAATTCCATTATTTTTTGTCATTCCCAATTTCCAAACAATCTACTAAATTTCTAAATTAGCTTTTCTTGACTACTATTCATATTAAATTTCCAGTTCATAATCATACTTTAAACTTAATCTGATAATATTAATACTTCATTTAATACTTTCATCATATTTTGTTGTAATTACTAAAGTATTTAAAACTATTTAATTTATTATCAAAACAAATTGAATTTTAAAAATCATTTAGTCCGTCAAAATCGGAATCTAATACTTTAATTATTGAAAATGAAACGAAAAATATATGATTTGAATATATTAATTAATTAATACATTTTTGAATAGTGTATCCCTTTATCCTATTGAATATTAAGTATATCAACTAATTGTTTTCTTATATCAAAATAAATTTTCGATATTAAAATTATAATATTTGATACAAATGAAATTTATTGAAAATTAAAATTAAGTTTATGATATTTAATTCATATTTTCTTCTAAATACGGCTTTATTGACCTATTTAAATAATTGAAATAAATCAATATTATGAAAGACAATATTTTTTTTTTAATATATATTGATTTTTTCAAACCTATAATCAAATAAATATGACCTAACTTTTTCATTTTTAAAATCAATTTATAAAAATAACCATTCAATGCACCTCTATATACATAAATATATTTCTTTCTCCTAATAAACTTTTCTTCTAATTTTTCAATGAATAATAATAATTATTGTATCACATTTTTATGTATATATACTCGTATTTTACGTTTTCAGTAAATAAGTATAATCGTTTTACAACGATGTATTTAATTTCACTCTACGATTAAACTGGTAATTAGAAAATTTATATTTTATGACTCAAACATTTTATGCTATTTTTTATCCCTTATCTTTTTTTATCACAAGGTATAATTGTAATGATTCTTAATTTATTTATCACTTTCAAGTTAATACAAATAATAAATACGGTTAACATAATGAACTTCTAACATTATTGAAAATAAAAACATTTAATATGTCTTATAATTCATATCCCATCCATATTCAAGTCCTATATTTCTCTATTCTTACCAAAGAACTTTTTAAATTTGAAAATTAACATACTTATTTTTAAACAATCATTTTCATCAAATTAATAATATTGTACAATTGAAAAGTAAAATAAATAATACTTTCAAGTGACATATTTCTATTTTTTATAATACATTTTTTTCCTAATTCAATTTTAATGTAATTTAAATAAAACTATATTTTAAATTCTAAAAATAATTTGTAAATCTATAATATCACAACTAAATTAAAACCAATATAAACTATTGAGTGTTTCATCATAAATATATTTAATTATTTAAAAATTATTTTGTATTTACTATATATATTGGAACTGATTGTAAAAATATTTTAATTTTAGGATTCACTGAATAGTGACCAATCAATTTATATCCTTCACCATTTAGTAACATTTCTTCTAAACTCTGTACGTTGCCTTCTTTGATCAATTTTTTAATTTGGTATTGATTCATAGGTAATACTGAAATTACATATAAAAATATATATAATTAATTCTGTATTATAAAATGCTTTACTTACTTCTAGGAGGATTATAATTTACATAGCACATATTTGGTCCTAAGCCGAATAAAACATTTTTTGACAAATTTTTTTGACGTTTCTGTACAATAGATTTCATTTAAAATACATAATAACTGAAAACATAAAGACTTAGTCAATATTTTAAAAAAAAATTATAAATTTATTTAATCAAATAACTGGTCAGATTGACCGTCTTATGACAGCTACAATTTGACAAATAATGAAATAGTATCTTGACCATAGAGGCAAGAAACGCCGATGACCCTGTCTATAACGGTCGTTGCTAACAACACTCAATATCACCAGGGGTAGTCTCTGGATTAATTAATATCATAAAGTTTAAAAATTTTAAATAAAATATATATATATACCCATTCGTACCCAATAAATAAGATATTATACCTAACTTATTTTTTATAAATCATGAATAAATATATGTGTATTTATTAAGTGCGAATAGAAAAAAAAATAGAGATATGTGATAAAAATTGACTATTTTTGTATTCACAGTAAAAAATTTTCATTTATAATTTTATATAATTTAATACCAAAAGAATTAAAAATATTTAACCCTAATATAAATCTCTGATATTTATCAAAAATATATTCCGTTTACTTATTGAAAATATTTAACTATGTTCTAATACTAAAGCAAAAAAATGTTTAGGTAATTGTTTACGATTTAAAATTGAAGTGTAACATTAATTCCGCTTATATTACTTATACAATCTACAGACTTTATATATAAGAGTAAGGCATCAACAAACTATATCTTAAGTTATTTAATCATTCATTGGCTTTAAATATTATGTAAGTATAACTCCAGATAAATATATTTTATATAGTAATTCAATATAATTTCAAATATAAACCTATATTCATTAACTGTTAATTTTTCGAATTATGAGTTAGAACCATAAGCTTCAATAGCAATCGTATTGAGATCAAAGAATGCAAAAAAATAAAATAATAAAAAGTCTTTAAATTTGAGTTTAAATTCACTGAGTTTTAATACTAATTGCTATTAATCTATAAGATCCCAAATCTATTAACTTGTAAATATATGATGTAATTCTTTATATGCACGATACTACTGTTTTGAGAATCGTATTAAATATGATTAAATATACTATAATATCAGGAACATAGTTATTCAAAATATTTTATTAACTACTTTAATGCGTACAACGTGATAATATTATTAGCAGTAATATCGATTACTGACCTATAAATTATATTATGTTCGTGTTGTGGTTCAAATTTCTAAGTGTTTATTTAATTTTTTCTTTTATGAATTAACTTGACAGCTTTATTGTTATATTATTAGTTATGAAAATAAAAAAAAGGAATTACTTAAAAAATTATTAAAATATTGTTTCTGCTACTTAAATAATTAGATAATTATATGAGTTACAATAAAATAAAATACAATAACCTTTAAAAATAAAAGTATAGTGACGAAGTGGATAAACAATTAATCCCAATTGATAATTTTAAAAAATTAGAGCAAAAACTATGGCTGCGTTTTATAATTATGGTATGGATATATAGTGTTCGGGATTGAATGGAAATAAATATTAATAGGATAAGAAATCGGATATAATAAATAAAATAAATGTGTGTGAATAATAACACCAATAATTCACAAATATTATACTGTATTCTTAAAAAAATAAATACTTAACGACCTTAACACCAAAGAAAAAACATAAAATTAAATTCTTGGTCCAAGAAGTACGTGAAATGCGTGTTATCCTAGTGATCAAATACCAAACCAAAATATTAAAAAATAACGCGTAAATATGATAACCAATTCGGCACAATTAAATGATTCAGATTCGTCGCCAGCATTTGCAACATCTATGGATATCGTTCTGAAATTACGAAGACTGCCTCTCCACATTCATTCTCAAAAAATTTTTAAATCCAGTTTTAACAAACACCTTACGAATATTTGATCCGAAATTAACGTTATCTTGCGGACATCATTTATAAAAAATTAACTGCAATATTAACACTTTTTAAATGTTTTTTTTTTTATTTGCCTACTTTAATATGGCATGAATACATTAAAGAGTTACGCAGAAAAACAATGATAGTCAATGTTCTTAAACTGTTTAATATTGCAGCTTCAAAGGTTCAGAACTTAAAAAATTAAGAGATGAAGTACTAAATAATGCGAAAAAATATGTTGTAGTAATATAACTAATTTTTGATAAAATTAATAAAAAAAAATTATTTATTTATTTTTTTAAATAAATAACAAGGTGGTATAGTTATCCGGTATTTTTATTTTTTTTCCTTTTTCCCCTCCCCCCCCCCCCCCGTAGCCCTTAATTTATTAATACAGTTCTTGTTTGTTATTTTTAGTTATTTTAAAATCTCTCGTTTCACTGGCCCATATAGATAACAGATTTAACCATGGGCGTAACTTGGTATAATTACCAGTGGCTATATAGGACTAGAAAAATGTATTTCAATACTCTTTATGTTTAACTTGAATTAAACGGAAAGAAAACATTTTCTAGAAAAAACCATTTATATTTGACTCGTTCTTAACCTACATTTTATTTTACAATACAAAAAAGAAAAAACAATCAAACTTAAATTATTGTATTTTTCTGCATTAATATTATAAATATTATAAAATTATAAAAATATTTAAAACTATAATTTTAGATAAAATGTTTTAAATTAAGGAAACACCGTGAGTGAGCTACAAAAGTTTCTCTGAGAACTATAGACCCCATGGCCCCAAGCATAGCGTATGTCCATATATTTTATAATTTATCTAATGATATAATAACAAGTACTAGCATACTTAGATACATAGTAAGTACTAAAAAAGTAGATTTTTAGAACTATCATTAAACTTTTTTGCATGCAGATTTTAAGAAATTTGTCTCTCACTATACTTGCTAAGACAACATTAAGTGCAAAAAAAAAATGTATAACTTACTTATGTAGTATGTATACAAAAAAAAAAAAAAAAAAATTGTAATAAGTATAAGCGATTAACAAATGATTTATAAAAATTATAAAATATATTTAAAATTATAGTAAAGCTATATTTTTTTTAATTTTGATAAATTAGTCCAACATTTCTTTAGAGTTAATAATATTAGTCATATATTTTACGATGTTTAAAATTTCCAAATCAAAAACCCAAAATTATTCTCTTAAACAAGGTTGTTGAATAACTATTATTTCTTACATACGAGCCCAATTAACCATTCACTTACATAGTTACATATTATGGCAAAGAGTAAGAGCCTAAAATAAATCGACCCACTTTACAATGAATATAATAAAACTTTACAGTTAATATAGAATTATTTATAATTTGGCTTCCATACAAAATTTGATACAGAACGTATCTTAAATAAAAATATTTCAATTTTTATTATTTTTGGTGTCGATGAAATATATATTATGACTTATACGGTATTAAAATTAATTAATAACAATAAAACACTCGGCGTAACTACTGACAATACTATTCAATGTATGATCATAACATACAAGCTACAGGTATATGTAAAGCGGGATCCATCTAGGTGAACCACCATGTGAATTCTAGTTATTCGTCCTAATCCCAAACTCAGGAGTCTTATGACTATTTTTGTCCACAGAGCGAAAAAAAAACACCAGCTTTTCCTGATGGTTTATTTGCCCTATGAGGACAAATTTGTAGTTTCTAAAATTGTGTAAAATGTAAAAAAAATTCAGAAGATCCTACATAAAATTTATCGATTATATTCGAATACAATCGAAGAATATTTATATACCCTTGAAACACCACCAGAAAACCCTATACACTGATCGTATTATTGAAATATCTGAACTTGACGTGACATTTTTTACATAGCCTTCTAATCCATGAGATACTTTTGAAACACAACAGCAAGTAAACGTCATCACTCAGCGCAATAACTCCTAAATGGTAAGGAACTCGCCTAATGGGGGTTTCTACGACTTCAAAAACTATTTTAATGATCCAATCAATACAAAAATTAAGGACATATGTTACAATGAATGATCAATGAGACAAGGCTGAAAACTGAAAAAACTTAATATCGTAATACTATTTTTGATGCATGACACCAGTTTGAAATACTAATAATTTGATTTAAAACGTTGAAGCTTAAAACTTAATATGGAACCCTAGTAATACTGTAAAACAATAACTTAATGTAAAAATATTCTACTCTAATGTGGCGATCAAACTCGATATTATTCTTTAATAAAAAACGTAAATAAGTAAACCGAGCTTATAGTGAAATAATTTATATAATTTGATATACGAGTAGGTTCATTATATTTCAATTGACCAACTAGGATAACTTAGGATAACGGGTTATTAATTAAAAACCGTAGTATGCATCGATCTGCTTCATGTAGACCATACTATTAAACACCAGTCTAATAGTATTAAAGAAATCTAATTCCCTATATTTTGGTTCCTGAACGAAATAAACTAGTTTTTTTTTTTTATTAGTTTTTAGTTGGCGACTATGAAGACTATGATATTTACCTATACAACATATTTTAAAAACAAACTTTAATTTTTAATTTTTGAAATATTTGGTCTAATTGAATCGTGAATTTCGAAAAGGACCCATCTCGAGTTTTATCGAAATAAAATTTGCTACATTTTTTTCATCTACACATATAGACCGATATTTTATGAGCAAGGACTCAAGTCTCTTTTCTATTGTGATGAATTAATTCATTAATTATTGTTATAATATAGCCTAAAATGTCATCGAATATATTAGAATTTCTAAATAACTGTAATGATAATGTACATGTAAATTACTTTCCAAATGTCTATACACTTTTAAAAATTGAGATAACTTTATCCATTCCAACAGCTACTGCAGAAAAGTCATTTTCAACATTGCGACGATTAAAAAACCCATCTCAGAAATATTATGGAAAACCGTTTAAATGGATTAGTTTTGATGAATATTCATAGAAAAATTTAAATTAGACCAGAAGAAGTTATGAATGAATTAGCTTAGAAAAAAAGAAAAATTGATTTGATATTATAATTAAAGTAATAATTATTTTAACCCTGGTAATTTGGACATTTTTAACTTACTTTTTTTGTATTTTATTTATAATGTTTAATGGTCAATATTGACTATTTAATAAAAATAACTATTGATAAATCAATACTTTATTTTGTAATAAATACCTTTTTTTAATTGATTTATTTAACTAATTATACATATGTTAGACTAAAAATAAATATCCTATACATAATAGATTATTTTTTTCCTACTGGTTAATAAATTTAAATGCCCCCCCCCCCACCCATAAAAAGTCGATGGTCACACGCCTAATGTGCGGTAAAAGGTACACACCGGGACGCGTATTTTGGAAATGTGAGTACACTCAGAACCGGATTGCTCTGATTGATCCAATTTGATTTCAAGGTAAAAATATAACACATTTTATGATTTACAAAATTATGCAAATCCTTAATATATTTTGACTTAAATAATAGCATTGATAATAGAATAGACTATTCTATAATCAATGATACTAGGTATTCAATACTAGCTCTTCATATTTCAAACTTGCAAAATTTGTAAATTTTAACCTAGACATCGGAGAAAATGTCGGGGGGGTTACAACCCCTTACCCTCCCCCGCGTGCGCCACAGCTATAATTCACGACCCCCAGATTGAAAACCACTGTGATAAGATATAAACATATTTGATATTTGAAATCAAGTGATGAGAAAATAGCAGGAATTAAAATTGAACCAATCAGAACAACCTGGTTCTGAGTGTACCCAAATTTGCAAAATACGCCACCGGGACACGGTCTACGGGTTGAACAGATTGGGTCACAGAACAAATAAATTCTATGGGGTGCGTCTTCGTGAGCGTTCTCATGCGTGACCGCAAGCGCAAAATTTCCCGTCGTCCAGTCGCATTGTGTTGGCAGCACCAGTCGGCTGATTCGCGATGTCCCCTGATTCGGCGAATCGTGACAGATAACGTAGAAGCTCCCCGACAGACACAGTACAGATACAATTGTCATTCGCCTAAGTCTGTATACGTCAGTCCATTCCTTGTCGCGGTTCTCAAGCCGACTGTTCAATCTGTTGCCTTTTACGTGTTTTCACTTTCACGTCACCTTCGCTCGACCCTCGACAACAACGGAATTACTCTCGCACTGCAATCTTCGTGGCTGTGCAACACCGACTCCTGGGACATCGATCCGCTGTGACGTAAGTAGACCGACTCAATAATTATAATAAACACTTGTTATGGTACTGCTGTCTGTCGTCCACATGAGTCATCGGTACGAACATTTTCGACGCCCCGTACGGCATCGCGCGTACATCAGAAAATTATGACGTAGGACTTGCAGACACTTCGAAATCGTGTGTAGTACGACACGCAATTTGTGTATGAACTAGGAAATTAGTACGAAATTACAATATGAGTATCACTTGTGTAGTTTCATAATCCCAAATAATTGATAGAAACCTAAAAGATGACTACGAAAATACAATAGTATCAACCAGTGCCGTAGCTAGATACTTGTGTGCCTCGATGCAAATTGGTGTTGGTGCCCCATAAATAGGGTACACCATTTATAGTGTACCATGTATTAGAATAAATATATGAAGAAAACTACTATCAACATTTATTGGGGTTAAATAAAAAAAATTTATAAAAAAAATAGCCTCTTATATGTACGAAATAAAATTTCCAATAAAACTGCTGTAATATATTGTCAATATGACAACATACACCATCCTATTTCTCTACAAAATGTATAGTTTCATTACATTGTAAATGTTAACACAAATTATTTAAATTGTAACTCGTTTTATGTGGTTTGTGACATTTAAAAAAAATTTATGGCTTAAGATCAAATAAATGGTTTATTATATCAATGAAGTGGTAATTAAATTCACTTCAGTTCTTCCAAATGTAAACTCTGATAACCTTTTTTTAATCCTTGATCAAATTATTTACTTTTAAATTTAAACAAAAATATAAATATTTATCAATGAAATGTCTATAATATGAAGATGTATCAATTTATTAATATTTTTAACCCGGCATTAGTTGCGCTATGGTTAAAATAACCATACATTTTTAGGTTTTTAATGATACATTTACATTTTATATTTAAATCATTAGCACTCAGTTTACTTTTAAAAAACTTTACATTTAACGTTACTTTTAAAAAAGTTATTTATTGTATATTATTGATTCATATGATATGAGTATCAATGATTAAAATATAAATATTTTATTAAAGATGAAAAAAAGTGCAGTCATAGCACAAATAACGACAATAATACATTACCAAATAACTTTTTTGTCTCATAATATTGATAGAATAGAAATGAATAGTTTTAATTATATTGAGGATTTAAAAATTCAACATAAAATTTGAAAAACTTTTGTTGTACAAATTAATTGAAAAAATATAACAATCTTAATTACACAGACTAGATTAGTACCTATAATGAGTTATATTAACATACTATTAAAGGTAAGGTGTATTAATAATCAAAAATGTTTCATTCATAGTTTTATACATTTTATGTTTTTTTGGAACACACTTATAAATAGGTCAAAAGACTGAATAACACATTATACTATTTTTAGATGTCTTTATTTTTCTTACACACCTACACACTTTGATATTGCACTAGACTAAAACTTAAATGTTTTTTAACAATATGTATAACACTCAACTGTATTTTATGTTTGTTTTTTTTTTAGTGTTTTTTTTTTTCAACATGAGTATACAAGGATTTGATGATCTAATTCAAGGTTCTTTGGCTACTTATGTCCAATTGTCCTCTCAGATTGGTGGTGCTGTTCAAACTCAGGCTTCACTTGTGTTTAGTGCTTTCCAGTAAGTTAGATTTATATAAGTTAGGTACAAATTATACTCAGAAATTATAAATAAATATGAAATCAAATTTTTAGTGATGAACTTGAATATATCAAATATGCTAGTGAACATAGTGCACCTAGTGATAGTGAAAAACAAAAATTATTATCTCCTATAAGTAAAAGAATCCAAGAAATCCAAACACTTAGAGAAGAAAACCGTGGATCTCCATTATTTAATCATCTTAGTGCTATCAGTGAAAGTATACCAGCTTTAGGTTGGGTTGCTGTGGTAAGTAATTTAATTTGTTAAATCAATATATAAATATATTCATTGCTGGGTATAATTGTTTTAAAAATGGATATTACCTTTATCAGGCTCCTACTCCTGCTCCTTATGTCAAAGAAAGTAATGACACTGGTCAATTTTACTCAAACAGAGTTATTAAAGAATGGAAAGCAAAGTATATTTTTATTATATATAATATTTAATTTTTTGGCATTAATTATATAAATTTAATTAATATATTTCAATTATTTCATAGGGATATGACTCATGTTGAGTGGGCTAAAGCTTGGGTACAAGTTTTAACTGATCTTCAAGCTTATGTCAAACAACACCATACAACTGGACTTGTTTGGGCTAAATCTGGATCAAAACCTTTAGGTGGCCCACCACCACCGCCACCATGTGGCTTACCACCAATGGATGACCTGTGCTTAGCTCCTGCTGATCCAGATGCTACTAACCGTTCTGCCTTATTTGCAGAAATCAATCGTGGTACTGATGTTACTAAAGGTATTTAAATATTCATAATTTTAATTCATAACAATTAATAGTATTTACAATTAATTTAATTTATTAAAAAGGTTTAAAAAAAGTATCTGCTGATATGCAAACTCATAAGAACCCTAACATGAGAATCAGTGGACCTGCTCCTGCTGTTATTGGTCAATCATCTGGTTCTTCAGCACCTAAACCAGCTGTTGAAAAACCTCCAGTATTTGCTCGTGATGGTAAAAAATGGCTCATTGAACACCAAAAGAATAATAGTAACCTTGTAGTTGATGGTGCTGATATGAACAATGTTGTATACATGTTTAAATGTGTTAACTCTACAGTTACTGTAAAAAACAAAATTAACTCAATCATTATGGATTCTTGTAAAAAATCATCTGTTGTATTTGAATCGTTGGTTTCATCTGTTGAGTTCATTAATTGTCAATCAGTCCAAATGCAAGTATTGGGTATAGTGCCAACAATTACTGTAGACAAAACTGATGGCTGCCAAATGTATTTGAGCAAGGATTCATTAAATGCTGAAATAGTTTCATCTAAGTCAAGTGAATTGAATGTAATGATTCCTAAAGCAGATGGAGATTATTCTGAGTATCCAATACCTGAACAGTTCAAGACAACAATTGGACCTAAGGGTCTTAATACTATTATCATTGAAGCTTCTGGTTAGAATGATTTGGTTAAAAAAAAAATTTGCAGAGTTAATCGGTTATCTTATAATTAATCAACATTTATTGTATGCATTTAGGAGTAAATAATAATATTATTTTGATGTCAACATTTTTGATTAATTTCATAATTTGAAGAAATACATTTGTATAAATATTAAGTAAAATTAATTTGATTTTTACGAAAATAAAACTGTTTTTATATTAATGAGTTATACATTTATGGTATAGTCCAAAAATGGTCATAGAATTAAATATTAAGTAATAAACCTTTTTTATATATTTACCATAATCCATGATTAATATTTATGTACTGCTCATGTTTATGATGCTCATTATTTTTCATTATTACTAACCCATTTTTGCTATTTGTAAATTTATATGCGACTTTCTATAATTAACTGTACGCAATTATCTCTTGGTAATATTTGAAACAAATTAATTGTGATCATTTTATAAGAAAAAAAAAAGTACTAATATTTATACATTTTATTTATTTATTTATTTATTTATTTATTTTATTTATGTATGTAAGTATAGTTTTTACTCATTAATTTAGCTTTCATTATTGTTTAGAACATTCTTACCTAATTTATTTGTATTAGTCTCAAAACTACTAACTTATAATTTTAAATAGAAATATTAAAATACTATTTGAGATATGTATTACTAAACTGTAATTGTATGACATTTTTATAATATATATCCTAATTTTACAAGAAAAAATTATAAACTGATTTTATTTTCATTAGTAGATGGTTACTGTTCTTATCTTGAATTGTATGTAAATTTAAAATACAATAGTCTTGATAATGTGTGACTACCTTTGTCATTAGCTATTTCTCCGTTATATCGCTTTTTTTACCTCATCAAATTATAAATAAATTTAGGGTTCATCATTTTTTTAATTCGAAGCAATTAAATCTTCCAATATTAGAATTTTAATTGATTTCTGTTTGAATATCTAGTTTTTCATTTATCTAGCAGTCCCATACGACTTGATGGTTTTTCAAGATTTAATAGTCAGTACCTACTATCAAAACAAAATATTAAATTTATTTATATTGTTATAACCTGGATTTAATATTTCAAGCATTTGCTTATTTTTTTAGCTCAACATAAAATCTAGCAGAGTGCAGTGAAAACTCAAGTCATGTTACAAATATCTCAAAAATTAGATTTAAAAAAAGGATATTTTAGTTTATTTACTTTTTTCGGTTTTTTTACTTATCTCTGCTTAATTATGACTTACATCAGTGGTTCTCAACGGGGGCTATATCGCCCCCCAGTGGGCGGTGAACTAGTTTTGGGTGGTTAGTATATTCACGCAAAAACGTTGTACATCATGTAACCTAAAAATAATTCATACTTGATAATCCATATAATAATTATTAGTTACTAATAGATATTATATGTTGAGCAATATACAATAATATATCTTTCATTGTTTATAAATTTAATATCTTTATTATTTTAGGATTGTGCATGGACATTGTATTTTATTATAGGTAGGTACCTATATTAATCAACCTTTTAGTAAACCGTTTGGTTTGAACTGTGCATGTTGTATTAGTTTTCGTTATTATACTCGTAATATTCAGTCTGTTAAAAACGTGTTTTTTAAAAAAAAATTACTACAAAAATATATGGGTAAATATCTACAAAAACAATAAAAGCAACATTTTTTACCTATTTGATTTTAAAATATTTTTTAAAAGTAATATTTTTTCTAAATAAACTAAAAAATGTATTTATTACTATAAAATAAAATTGATAAATTATTAAGTTTTTTTCAAATGTTTAATTAATTTATTAATACTATAATTAAAAAAATATGAAAAATAAAACATAAATGAAAACATTAGTTATGAGATAATTATTCAAATTTTTTTTCAAATTTTCCAAATCATTAACTTCTTTCCTATCCTTTAGTCCATACCATTAATTATAGAATTTCCACATAGGGGGGCGTTAAAAAATTGATTCCTACTCAAGGGGGCGGTAATATAAAAAAGTTTGAGAAACACTGACTTACACTGTTGAAAACCTAACAATTTTAAATAATATTTGTACATACTGTTTTTATTCATGATAAAGCTAGAATTAAAATACTTTTTTTCTTTTATATACTTTATTTCCTAGTAATATAAGCCAGTTCTTACAACATTAAATAATGATTTAGAAGAAAAAAAATTACCTCGAAATCTTGGAGAAAATGTAAAAAATACTGGATCGTTAGGTTGGCAGTGAGTACCAACTTTAGTGAATTTCCCAACAACTACTTTGACCTCATTGTATACTTTAAATACATTTGAAACATATCCATAAATATTAATTAATTTTCGACTGATAAAAAAAAAGGTTTATTGCATTTATAAATTTAAGAAACATTTGATTTTTCAGTACAATAGATAAAATAAGAAACATTTTAAAATATTTTTTTTTTTATACCTACTTAATTATTCTTTAGTTATTCTTAAAAAAATTGAAATATATTTTTTATATATTTCAGAATATCAGAAAATCTATAAAAATATAATATAGAAGTTAAATGTTCTCAAATAAGCTAAAAGTTTTTAAATTTTGGAAGATGACATTTTTCTCTTTGTTTTTAAGTGTTTAAACTAAACAATTCAATTTGTATTGACAGTTAATGTTGTGCTTTTTTAATATTTTCAAGTGCTTATAAATAAATATTTAAGTTATTTATTATTATTATTATTATTATAATGATCGTTAAAAGTGCTATAAATCCCTGGTTATGACAAAATACTTTCAAAGGTTGAATAGAGTTGAACTGATATCTAAAGTTAAGGCAAATATTGAGAAAGACTTCGAAGTACATCCTATTTTAATCTTAGTATCCCTTTTCTTGTTTCTGCATTAACCAATTAATTTATGTACTATGGAAATATTTTCTATTTATTGCATTTCAATAGGTAACTAATTAGTAATTTAGTTTATTCTTTATCAAAATATTGAATTCATTAGTCAATATATTTATCAATACACCACAGACTACACATGACCATATTTATTTCATTACATTTTAAAAAACAATATCAAAAAATTAACTTTGCTATTTATTATAGTTACCTGTATTAAACAGTAAATGAAAGTTCAAATAAGATTTTTTTTAATAAATACATGGTTTATACACAGAATAGATTAAATAGTATCAGTGTGTACTTTAATTTTAGGATTATCCAGCAATTATTACATATTAGCGATAGTTACCAAAATTAAATTATTTCATAATATTAAAAATATTTCTTCTAATTGCCGTTACAGGCAAATATAATTTTAATTTATCGTGGAAGGGAGAAATCGTATTCGGTGTCGCAACGACAGTAGGCAGCAACACATTACAACCAAAAATATTGGATAAAATCGAAATCTTTATATAAAAACTGTTTCACGCGGGAAAGAACCGAGAAGGCTACAGTCATAATTAAGAAATGAAATTTTCACCACATGAAAAGGAAAATTTTTCTGTGAAATATCGTTTTTATTCTTTCGATATCGAAATTACAAAAAAAGTTATTCAGATTTAAAAAACATAAAAATAATGGATTTTGAAACAATAAGAACTTTTTTCGTACAAGTGATATCAAAAAAATAATAACGATATTTCACAGATAATGTTCTCAACTATATTGTATATAAATTTGGAGTCTTCACTATCACTACTGCTTGAGTAGTTCTATCCCGCGTGAAACGGTTTTTATGAACGAATTTATACATGTGTAGCGTCCTCTTAACTCTGGCGCCAAATCGGGCCGCAGCTTCTATAGACCTCCGGGAGTGGTAATGTATATTTTTTAATTAAATGTTTTAAGCCATGTTGTTAATATTTGTATAACATTTTTATTATTGAGCACCGGTTGCAGTATTTTTTTTTTTTATTATAACATTTTCTCATATGGACATCCTCAACAGTGATGGATGTGTAACAGATCATTCGCTCCGTTTTATTTTTATTCTATTTTTTGTTTAATTACAAATGATTATGTGATGGTGGTGTATTTAATTCCGGGATGTCCCAGCATTCTGCATACGGGTTTGACTAGTCTACAAATTAGCCACTCGTTTGAGATTTATACCTGCCGTACTTTAGTGGTACGCCGTGTTGGACGGTCAGTGAGTACCCGAAGGCGTTCTTCACATTATTTGATAAGCGTAGGTGACATTTTTTTATTCCCATTCTATTTCAGATGAGGTTTTTTGATCGTTCGATTTTTTGCCTCGTATTAACTTAAATTATTTTTTTTAATAAAATCTCATTTAATTCAACTATAACTAATTGTTTTTTCTTGTGTGTTCCGTCTTCAACGGACTCACAAAATGTCTAACTATATCCCTTTCAAAATTCTATAGTATTATAAGGTATGGGCAACGGTCTCCTCGAAGACCATCCCACATGGTACGTATTCAAGGGTCACAAGGTATTAAAACAACACGACTCAACAACTATCTACATAAATTTTTCAATTTTAATTATTCCAAAAAAAACACCACGTTAACTTCAGTAACTAACGTGGTATTTTTCTAAAAATCCTATTGTGGTCCGACCTCATGGTCTTCTAGTAGGTTGCTGACCCTATTTTTTTTTATATATCCTTATAAAGCGCTATGTAAGTTATAACAAAATCTATTGTGTCTGGTCACATTTATACTTATATATTATTTCTATTATTCTTTTAAGTTGTAACCTTACAAACCAAATAGAATAAATATAAGTGTTGTTCATCCGTCTTCATAAAATGTATAGCTTTCAAAAAAAAATTAACTAATAACTAATACTTGATATATTTATAACTATAACATTAAAAAATCAACAGAATTAAACAAGTACAAAAATAAAATTTTTAAACATTACAAAATTAACTTCTATTTTTTTTCTATTTGTGTAAGTAGTACATTTTTTGACTAAACAAAATTAATTAGGATGTGTTAACATAACTTTTTATGAGTAAAGTATAAATTAGAAGATACAACAAATTAAATTAAAACATAAGAGGAATGCCATAATATTACACTGGTGTCAATATTATTAACTATACAGTTAAAAATGGTGTCATAGCATAATGCGTGACCATAAAATCCACAAAAAATTATGATACATATTTGTATAAATCATTATTGTCAAGACTAGAAATTATTCAATTTATGTTTGTTCCTTTTTAAATGTAATAATTCCTCATAGAAATTAATTTTAGAAAAAATATTCATAAAAATATAAAGCTCATGTCAAAAATAATTTAAATTTAAAATTACCATAGCCAGTGTTGGGTTGAAATATTTTAAATTTTATTGACTACTAGTCACAAAAATATACCTAACCATTCAGTATTATTATCATAAAATTTATACAAGACTTGTGCACAAATATTAAATATATGTGCACAAGTCGTGTATAAATTGGCACCTAAATATAAATGTATGAACCATACTCATATTATCCACATAAATCCAGAAATTATTGAAGAACCTCTATACATTTCATAAGTTATAATTTAACAACTCAAAAATATTATGTATAAGTATAGTGCACTTTCAAGCGTGTGACATTATTTTTAGCATCTGGTAACTGCTGGTAGAATTAGTTTAACCCATTGAAGACGACAACTATAATAGACCAGACTAACTAAACTAACTATATTAGACCCTTTGAAAACACACATATGTGCCAATTTTGTTTTTTACAAAAAAACTAATTACTTAATTTTTTTTTCACAGTCTTAAAGTAAAGGTTATAGATAGAGCTATATATATAACTGTAACTATTTTACTTAAAGTTCTTTTGACTTCAATCATAAATTCAAAAAGTCCATTTTTACACGATTACTAATATTTGTAATTAATTGGAAGTCATCACGCTTAATATTTCTTCAATATATTTACTCTCCGAGAATTACTTGATTATTTAGTATAACTTTTTAAAATATTAGTAAAATTCCCAAGTTACTAATGCTTTCTTAAGTTTGTGGCACACCGACATGGCATTATGTACCAATTTTTTCGCAAACGTTGATTATTTATGAATTTACAATAGATACCAATATTATCTTTATTTGTAGTCTATATTTTTATTGACGTTACTAATAAAGATGTAAAATATGAACATTCAAAGGAATTTATAATAGATCAAACACAGTATGCACAACTTGTAATATTCCATTGTTTTACAAATAGGTACTAGAAACTGTTTAGCTATTCAACACATATAAATTTAAAAAAAAAAGTAATAATTTTATATTTTTTTCGAATGATATTAAATTATTTTGTAATTTTTATTAGATTTGTATTTAATTTGTATTAAAAGAAGATCCAGTTTTTTAAATATAAAATGTAATCTTATTTATACCTATTATAATATCTAATTTAAATATGTTAAAAGTTTTTAAAATTGTTTTGATATTTGTTACAAAATATAACCTTTGTGGACAATAGGCACACATATGTGCCATGAATATCTAACAAATGGTGAGTTCTAAAAATAAACTAAAATGTTTTTTGTATAATTTAAGTATTTTTTATATAAACTATAACTCAATTTGACTATTAGGGTCATTAAGTTGTCGTCTTCAAAAAGTTAAGCATCACATCAAGACAATTCTCCAATGGGAGTGTTTTGCATCCACAATTCATGCATAAATTCATACAGATCATCTGACACGGATACCTAATTATTTAAAGATAAATAAATATTCAAAAAAATAATATTTCATTTAAAGTATTGTTTACTTTATAAGGCGTAGGATTTAGATTTCTTTTTATGTCAGGGCGTATTGTTCTTAATGATTCTTTAACATGTTCTCGAATTTCTTTTAAATCTGGTAACCTTTGCATTATGTGGCCATTTTCCCAATAGAGCTAGGTATATAACATATTTAATTATTTACAAATATATAGGTTTTTAAAATACTATGAAATATAACTTTACTTTGTATAACGGCTGTATTTCAGAAGGTACAACAAATGCTCGTTTCTTTTGATCAAATGGATGTCTGCAAAGAAGTTTTGTTTTGGCAACAGGTAAATTTTCAACAGACTTTTGCAACAAGTCTATTAAAGCAAATCCTAAAAATATAAATTGAATAGAATAGAAAAAAAAACAACCAAATTTATTTCTATTAACTTACCATCACCACCATACAACCTAAATGCATTTTTTTTTCCAGGCATTGTAATTTTGCTACCATCTTGACTTAATTTGATACGAGGCATCCCATTTACTTCAACTAATTTATACACACAACCTAGAGCTGGTTGTCTTTGGCATGTAACTTAATTCAAATAATTTAGTACATTGTTATTTAAAATTTTATTTATAATTTACCTAAATGTGTCCCAATTCCAAAGCAGTCAATACTATGTTTCTGGTCATTTAAACTCCAAATAGTTTCTTCATTTATATCATTTGATGCAATTATGGTTAAATTAGCAAACCAAGGTATATTAAACCTAACATTACGTTATACTTAATTAACTGGACTTGTACTCAATTAAATTTTTTTATTTTAATAAACTTACTCTTTTGCAATTTTGACAAAAGTCTCACGAGATTTATTTGACAAATATGCCAAATCACCACTATCAATCCTAACACCAATAGCTTTGTATCCAAGATCATTTAATGCCAGCGCTACTGCACAAAAATTTAAGATACCACTCCTAAAAATTAAAAAATAAACAATTAAAATAACTATCATTTTAAGTAAATATATAACTCTATAACTATTTATTTAAATTGTTATTATATTGAACCAGTGCGAACCATTGTACCTAATCAAGCATGCATTTACGACCAACAATGATTTGTGGATTTTACATACTGTAAATGTAAAATTTATAATGGACATAAGTGAAGTATGGATATGGAATACCAATTTACTCATAGATATTATTATATTTAGAGTTAACAAATATAAAAGCGATCAGCATTCCTCCCAAGGTCAAACACATGCGAATAACAGATGATGGGAATTCTTACCCAAAACTTGAAATGACAGGTAACTGTTTTGGTCCTAAGAAATGCCACCTGTAATATTTAGAACAGAAAAAACACCAACTAATTTTTGTAGGTTTGAATTTTAATTTTATTACTATGTTCTAATTTTTAAAGGAAAATGAAATCTTGAAATTTAATGAAACGCTTGGGGCAATCTTTTATTTTATTGGTACACATAGTCCTAATAACGTAATGTACAATTTTTCTAGTATCAAAAACTTCTAAGCTACAAATGATACGCCTTTTACATTTTATTTAATTTTATTTATATCAATATATTACACCAATTTAGAGAACATTAAATTTCTCAGCTGAATTACAGTGGAATAAATCAAATTTTTTTTACAAACTAATGGTATATAAATACATGTTTATAAAAACATTCAACATTTTTATAATTTTGGTATGCACCTGATTTTTTATATGTATTTTTTTTTTATAGCAACGTCTATTTTAAACATCATATTCCGGTAAGTCTATTTTTTTAATAAATAATTTTGTTTTCATATTAAATTGATCTTGTTAATAACATATAAAAAAAAATACCTAAAAATATTCAAAAAGAAACCAATAATAAAAAATGTATCAATGGTTTTATGGATTTTAAAAATGTATTATTTTTTTAAATTGAAAAGGCTGTTATTCAGTCATTTTAGAATTTAAAACCATAGTTAATGTATCAAAATTACTTTAAAAAATAAGCCTATACGAATATAGTGTTCAAAATAGATGTTGCTATTTTTAAAAAAAAAAAAACAACAAATGTATTGCGTGTGCACATACCGAAATTAAAAAATTTTGAAATGTGTCTATAAATGTGTTATTCATGTAACACTTGCTTGTAAAAAATAATTCGATTTATTCCGATGTAATCTGATTGAGAAATTCAGTATTTCCTAAATTAGTCAACACAAGGTATATATATTTATATCTAACTTTTGGAATATTCAAAAGAGACATTTCAACAATATCAGTCTTCTCAGTTATATTATTTATAACAATAAAAATGTCTTTCCAATGAGTTACAAATGAGAATACTATTTAAATATTTAAGTATAAAATATTATAGCTTAAATTAGTAATAAAATACTTCGATTAATATTAAAAATGGTTTAATATTTTACTTATGAAAATCAATCAATTTTTTACCTTTAAGTATCCCAAAAGTTACATTTAAAGCATTACAAACAATGTAAAAAAAATATCCATCTAATGAATCATTTAATATTTAATTTAAAAAAACATTAACACTCACTTGTTTACATCATAAGTGTCTATGAGTGCTATAAAACCTTCAGGAAAAGCAATGGCAAATGAAACAAGAGCTGCTAGTTCTCCATCAGATGCTTGGCTTTCAGATATGTTTAAAAGAGTTGATAGTGTAGTGCGCCATGATAAAGTCAAATCAATTAAATCTTGTTCTTTACCATTATTCAAATTAATAAGTGTCTAAAAAAATTAATTTAATACAAGATAAATATTATATGCTCATATACAAGTCAAAAAAGTGATGGTTGGATACAACTAAGAATTATATTAAAGCTATTAGTGTGTATTTGGGTAGGGGATGTAGAAAATTGAAACGAGAGAAGATTAAGGACAAGGGTGACCAACCCCAAATAGTTGGGACAAAGGCGAAAAAGAAAATTCTACACAAATATAAATTTCAAATTAAATCCACTACTATCAAGTGATACCACTGAAGATAAATTGAATAAAATAAAAGATGTCATATATAATACAGCCAGTAAAACATTAGAAAGAGACTCATCTGAGCTTAGGAAACCATTGAAGAACATTAACTTTTTTAGAGATATTGAAAAAAAAAGGAAGTATAAGAATTCTTAAGATAATTATGGAATAAAGAGATATAAAAACTTAAAGTTAATAGATAAGTCAAATTCAAAAAAGAAAAATGGTTAAAAGAAAAGTGCTATGAAGTAGAACAATTGCTTAGGAATAACAAGGTGGATCAAGCATTTAACACCATTTAGAATTTCTTCAAAGGAAAAATGAAAAGAATTAGCAAAATAAGAAACAAAGATAAAAAGTTGATATTAGACAGTGACAAAATAGCAACAATATGGAAACAATATTTTAATGCTTTATATGAAGAAGGAGAAACAGCCATTTTCAATAATAACAATAATCCAGATATGCAAAAACTACTATTAAGAGACAAATTCAACAAAACCTTTAAAGTTAATGAAAGCATGTAAAGAAACAGATATAGACAACCTAAATATTGAACTTATTCATAATGTGAGTTTAGAATTATTCATTAGGATGAGCTATTTAAATCCGTGAATGATATATATACTACAGAAGAAATTCTTGGAACCAATAAAATATAACCAATTTAAAAATTATTCAAGAAAAAAATTAAATAAGCATGGAAAATAATTTTATTTTAAACTTGAAATAAAGAATAATTGTTTTCTAATTTTTCATTTAATTTATTAAAATATTGAATAACTTTTCAAAAATTTTGGAACATATTAATAAATTTAGAATTAATTTTAAATAAATTCAATAATAATTAGTGAAAATATTATGTAATAAAGTACCTTTGTTTTCAGTTCACTAGGATTAGAAAATGATGTTATATATGCATGAGCATGAGTTCCTTTTACAGGTATATTGAACATTTTTCCGGCAAGTAAATTACTTGTTCCATCAAATCCTCCTAAAAAAAAAAAAAAAAAAAACATTTAATAATATCAAATACACTGATTTTAAACTATAAATAAATTAAATTAATTGTTAGATAAAAATTAATAAAAAACTTACTATTACATTTATTACATTACAATAAAATAAAAATATTTCTTGTATTTAAGCGACCAGTAATGGCACCAAAGGTATAACATTATAATGTAATATAAATTAAGTGTAATATTACAAGTAATCTTAAAAGAATCTCTGACCATTAATAAATCAAGGAAAAATCAATTTTAAATTTATGATATTATTTTAAAGTTTTAACTGTTAAAAGTAATTTTATTCTAACCCTCAGTTATCATATATTTAAATGGAAGGAACATAGTGTAGTACCTGGTGAATAAAAAATTATATAGATAAAATTTTACATACACAACTTCTTCAACTAAAGAACTTACTAGAATATCTTATTAAATATCAAATGTAATAATAGGTATGACTTACAATTAAATGTTAATTATAGAAAAATAATTAATCAAATTTTTCTTATAAAAATGACTTTATCATTTTATTTGATTATTTAGTTTTATTATCCAAATTACACTTTGATTATTAATATTTAAATATTATTATTTATATTATATATGCTGTATAGCAATCTCACTTGACTTTCAAGAGCACTACACCACTGATAAATCAATTGATGAACATATTGAAGAGACAAAAAATGTGTAGGGTTAATTCTGTTTTGAAATAAAGTATAAAATAAACTTAAATCTACTCAAAATTGTTTAATTAGTCATTAAATTTAAATATATAAAAATAAATACTTATATGTATAATATATGAAGGTATAAAATAACATTTTATCAAAGTTCAACAAAGTATTTTAACTATAATAACATTCAACCCAATTTTACCAAAACTAATGGTCTACAAACGTCAAATATACATTTAAACTATTTCAAGTTAATCGCAACTCAAATAATTTGTACCATACCGAGATCACTTTTATTTATCCTCAATTAAATTAAAAGACAAAAAGTATTCTATATATATTGAATATAATTGACATATACATACAGTACAAAAATAAAAATTCAAATTTTAATTAAAATTTTTAAATATATCTATAGCTTATTAAAAATTAAGATTGAGTCAATATAGGTTGTTTTTGTTGGTATTGTTACTTGAATTGCTGTTCATCAATAATAATAATAACTTTGGCATTCATTCAAGAAATTTAATTGGGAAGTAAAAAAATTCATCTTATTTTATTCTTAGATTACAATTTAAATATATCTTTACTCTCAATTCATTTTAAGAGTTAATAATTTATCTACAATAAAATTACAAATTAAAAACTATTAATCAGCCAATCATTATCCTAAGCATACAAAAATAAAAAAATAAATGTAAAATATAATTTTTCTTTTAAGTTATTTTGATCTTAAATATTCGATATAAATAACATAATTATTATTATTAAAAGTATTATTGCATATTTGATGGAAATGTAAATGTAAATGTAAATTATGCAATTAATTTTTTTGAAATTGTTGATGTAACCTAATCAACATTTAGATCAGTTATTTCAGAATTATTTAAATTTAAATAATAAAATAAAACAAAAATTAGTAAATAGTTAATATTTGTAAAAAATAAATAAATAAGTGCATAGTCTGGAATATTATTATATGAGCAATGTGATTTGAGTTAAAATTTTATCATCAGGTATAAATTCAAAAAATATTAGGCTATGCATTTAATTATTTCTATATATAAACTCATTGTTTAACTAATTAAATAATTATTTATGTAAAAAAAAATGGTATTTCCATTTGAAAAACAAAAGTTAATAATGTCACAGGATACTCTTTAAGAAGTACAAAAAAATAATTCATGGGAAAATATAATGTAATGGTACAAACACATTTTCCATAAACCAAAATTTGAAAAAATATCTTAATAAAGCATTATAAAAATTAACATGCACAAAAATCATCCAACATATCTAGAATTTTTTATCAGTACTACATTTTTTTTTAACTTTCTTGAAATATGTATTGAATTTATATGATCTATAACCATTAATAATTAAAACACTAGAATTACTTATTAAATAAGTAACTATGTATTTTTTATTATTTAAATAAAATAAAATGTTAATGCTGTTAGAAACTAAATATTAAGTTTTAAAAAATAAATTATTAGTAGCTTAAGGTGTTCGTGATAAAATTACACAATAAAAAATAATTTTGAGTTCAAGTTTAGTGTTGATTACTGTTGGATAATACAACATATATACATTCACAATTCATTTGGTACCAGTCACCGTCTAACATTGCTCATATTGCAATCAATAACAAGTTCAACCAGTACCCAGCACTCACAAATTGTGATTGAAATAATTGATAATGTAATTTTTGTTATAGTAAGTTATTAGAGTAAGGTAAAAAGTACACACCAATATATGCATATTTAGAAGCCGACAAACCACCATCTGGTCCTTGAGCTCGCCTTAAACCAAATTCTAATAACGATACATTATCACCTGCTGCCATTCTGTACCTAGCAGCATTTGTTGCCATTAAGCTAAAAAAGTTTTAACAATTATTTTTTAATTTTAAATTTAAATATTTTATAAAAATAAATACCTAGAAAAGTTGACCAATGTTAATAAAGTAGTTTCTAGCAGTTGAACTACAATTAAAGGTCCTTCAACTCGAATTAAAGGCACTCTGAAAATATTATGATATTTCTAAAATTGTATTTATTAATATTTATTTCTTAAACACTATAGTTTATAAATTATGAACATAATAAGCTTTAGTTACTAACAGAATGAGAAACATACATAGTTAATGCAGTAATGTACCATAAATATATGTATATAATAAAAAAAAAAAAAATTCAATTGAAACATTTATTAGTATACTTTCTATAAATTACTTCATTTTTAATATTTCAATTTTATAAGACTTAACATAAAAGTTTCTTAGGTACTGATTTGTTATAGCCACCCATATAACAATAAATAAAAATATAAAATAGTAATCTAACAATTTGATGAAAACTATATTAATATAAATGTAAATATAACAATGAATATAAAAATGAATTTATTTATTCATATAGTGTTAAAAATTATGGTTTCTGTGATTCCCAAAATTCAGCTATATCTTTTAAGATGATGACAAACGGATCACTATTGTTCAGTTTTGATCGCCACATAAGAGTCTAAAAAATATCTGTCAATACCTTTATGTTATTTGTTGCCCCATTTGGCCGAACCCCACATTCTCTTGACGTTTTGTGTGTGGGCTCCTGACTTAGGATCCACGAAATTATATCTATGATTAACTTGATTATGTTGAAATCCATGTTGTATCAAATTAGCATAAGCTTTCTAGCTGTCAGAAAAAATTGTAGAACCATGTCTAATATATTGGTTAATGACAGGTATCAATGAACCTTCTGATCTATTTGGCACACTAACTGTGAAACATTCTTTAGTTTCACGGCATATACCACCAAACACCCATTGTTGATGTTATTAATACACCTTTCATCAAATTGTTAGATTACTAACTATTTTATATTTATTGTTATATGGGTGACAAGGCTCTAAAGTTTTCACTCGCCATGGCGGGGCTATAACAAACCAGTACCGTTTCTTATTTACTAACATAGATCTATAAAAAATTGGAAGTATAATAATCCATGATTGTAGAAATAAATAAATATTGTTATTTTTTAAAAAATTATAAAACATTTTATTTAAATAATCAAATGAATGAAAAATAAAAAATTGTATTATTCCTTTCAAACAATATATGTTGTACTGGTTTTTTAGGCGTACATAATTTATATTTATACTTTAAAATATAAAAAAGGTTATTTAACATTGATGACCCAAATTTAAAAATTATACAATACAGTACAACACAATAATTATTTATTTTATACGCATATCTCAAACCTGTTTTATATAACAGTGTCAATAAAACACAAGATAAATAAATATTTCACATTTCCTTTTTAACTACCTTGGAAATACAACTGAGCCTTCATCAATTGCATACAGTTTCACATCTTTAGCTGTTAATTCCTTCAAATATGCAAAAAAGGACTGTTCAATTGTTGGTGGTAATGCTGTTTTTAAGTATTCAATATCTGAAAAACACAATAATCTGTTTTCCAATTCTTTTTAAATATCAAGTGACAAATAAATAAATAAATATATATATATATTGAATAAACAAACTATACATAATTGTTCTTTACTTACTGATTATTTAATCAAATCATTAAGCAATTAAATATTGTACGGTTTAATCTTAATGCAAGTATGTTAAATAGTAAAACAATACTATGAGAACATTTTTTATCAGTATAAGGTAATTACGTAAAAAGAAGACAATTCAATTAAAATAAATATTAGCTTATACTATTTATTTTAAATTGTTTAAGAGGTCAACTATAAACTGAGACTTTAAAATATATATTAAATATAGTTAATCAGTCATTCATATATTACCAATAAATAACTAATAAGTTAACATGAAAATATGAAAAATAATAAATTGCTTCTAAAATAATTTAAATTTAAAATGTAAAAAAATTATTTTAACTATCCAAATCTAAAAGAAATTATGGATTTAAGCTAGAATACAAAGGGAATGTTAATTTTACAATACAATTCTTAAATTTTAACTACAGAGCATAAGGTTATTAAAAAATCAAATACTTACTATCTACTTGTAATTAATAAAGCTGTATAATCCATTATTTGATAAGTGGTAAGGTAATACATAAACATGATACTTTAGAATTATAACTAAGTTAGAATTCTAACTTTAGAAGTATAATAATCATTTATATTATATAAAATACATCAATGTATCCAAACATAATTTATAACTATTTTATTAATAAATTATTTGATAATTTAAATTACTAAGCAATACAGTTTAAACAAAAATAACTAATCCAACCAAATTACAACTTTTAATATAAATGAATACACTATTTAGTTTAATATCACTTTTAGAATTTTAAGAAAAAAATTAATTTAAAAAATAGAACAATTTATATACATTTTTTTTATCAACAATAAATAAAAATTGTAATTAATGGTGAACCAATAATCTATATGTGTTAAATTTACAAAAGTTTAAATATAACTTACCACTATCAGAATAATTGAAATTTTCCAAAAATCTTAAACATTCCTCTAAGCCGCCAAATATAGTAAACTCGCCCTGAAATGGATTCTGGCGAAAGAATAAATCAAATACAGCAGTATCTGATGTTTTTTCTGATTTCCAATATGCATAAGCCATTGTAATTTGATATAAATCTGATAAACAATACATAATACATTCGGATAAAAAATGTCAAGTACAGTAATTCTCGGGATAATTCTCTTGATTAAACCAGAAACTATTTAAGTTTTTAATTTTAATTAAATCAAAAAACTACAACAAATATAACTATGAGATTCTGTTAAAGAAGTTTTCAAAATTTAAAAATCACACTAGTAATATAGAAACAAAATCTATAAATATATCTTTAAAACTTAATCAATTGCATATTGTTTCACATTTTACATACATTTTCTTAATGATAATTATTAAAAACCTACAAATAAATATATAAATACATAACATTTTAAATAAGCTACAATAAAATTTGATGTAAAATATGAAATTTTAAGTAATCCATCAAGATAATAGATAATTGGACTGAAATAGGCTATTTAATATAATATATTTAATATGGCTTTTTAATTTTATTTAACAGTTAAATTTTCTATCCGAATGTCTGCTAATTAATTATACATAATTAAAATGGTAGGACCCAAGTTTAGTTATTAACTTAAATAGTTATAATTTTCAAATTATTATTTGTCAATCAGTAAAGTGACTTTTTAAAAAAAGTAATAATCGAAGTATAAATTAATAACCTACATAATTTAGAACTAGAAACATCACGGTTACAGAAGAATACTAATAAAATGAATATTAACTGTAATTTCTACTACACAAACATAAATCATATAATACAACACACTGCATATAACTCGATATATTACGATGTAGGTAGATGTTCAATTTGATGCCTTTACGTTAACTGTACGGACGTTTTTCGCAGTATTATTAAGCAATAATTGTTTTAAAACGTAGTCCTTGTGCAGCATGTGAAACGTCATTAACATATTTGCAAGTAAAATATTATTCGAACCATGAATGAATCGTTGCGATTCACGAATCATCATTAGTCGACGGATATTGCAATGGCAATTGATCCCGGAAATGATCATATGGAAAAGCATACACGAGACAACGAAAAACATTAAGTCTCGGACGTTATTTCCTCCGCAACGGTTTCGTTTACCTGTTAGCAGAGGCTGCACGACGCAGTTATGGACCTGTAGTCGCGTGGACACATGGCTTCTCTGATCGACGCTCATCGTGGTAAAGCGGCGTACCACGGCGATTATTGTCGGATGAGCACGATCGCTGTTTTCTTTCGAGCGACGTGCGCGTGTTTTGCTGGTACCACGTTGGGGCTCTACCTGAAAACCGTGAACGAACGTCGGGCAGACGTTGTGTGCAGTGACGGTACTGCGTCAACGATCATAACCGTCGGCGAATGACGGCCGTTCCAGGGGAGATTCGCAAAAGTACAACGAGCGGACGCGGTTCAATCGACTCGGCAGAGCACGCAGGCAACAGTTGTACCGCCGGAAATTTCGGAAATCGCTCGTACGCACGTCTAATCGTTGCAGTGACGAGCGAGAATGTGAACGCAACGAACAAAATCGTTGACCGACTGCCGCGCCGAGGACCGTCTGCACGGTCTACTCTCACTGATACCGATGTCTCAACGAGAGACGTGGGAGAGGGGCGATGTACACGCGCACGCACAAACGACCCTGCAGCTGGCGCTCGGACGGCAAAACTCTCAAACCGACTATTGTTTTCCTTTTCAGTGTTTCCCCCTTCACTCTCACTCACTTTCACCCGATCACTCACACACTCGCTCATTCTCTCACTCTCTCTCTCTCAATCTCTCTCTCTCTCTCTCTCTCTCTCTCATCCACTCCGCTTCTGTCCGTCACTCGGTCAACCTCAAAGTTGCTCTTGGCCTGTACAGACCGAATGTCGCGCAATACAATCGTCGGCCTCGACGGAGTTGATAAAATGATAAGCAATTCGACCGCCTAATTTTATAATCGGCGCGGACATCGTGTCGTGAACGATCGGTTAACGTGTCCGTCTACGACGCACACGGCGGCATGTAACTGTACGCGAATATGGTATTATTACAGTTGTAGCCGCGTCATTGCAAGTCATATCATTTATTTTTCTACAAATCACCGTTTTCAGAACTGCGCGTTTATCGACTTACGTTATTTTCACGCGATTTTAACGGATCATGAGTGATAACGCTAATGATCACCTTGACTTGACATTAAACACCCCTACTTACCAATAATATATGTTTTCAATACTCCCATAAATTATTGTCCTATGATGCGTGTGCTACTATTATCTTCGAGTAAGCAAATAAAAAATGAATAAATCGTTTAAAAATGTCATTTTCATAACTCACGTAACTCTGATATAATCTGAAATAAGTAATACACTAAACCAGGGGTATCTAACCAATCTTTTCAAACCGATCACCCAAGTTTACTGATGTTTGTCAATATTATTCCAACTCTCAACATATGTGCATATAAAATAATTTCAATATCTAATTATGTGAACAAACGTTTTCAATAAATAAAATACGTTAAATCTAAATATATCCAAGTATAACTAACTTAAACCACGAACATTTACAAGCTACGATATTGATTGGAACAACTAAGATTGATGCAATTTATCAAGAAATTGTAAATACAAGCAATTCCAAACTTTTCATTAAACAATTTACTCTTATCTCAATTAAACAAATTTAAAATTATAAAAATAAAAATACATTTTTCTAAAATCTAAATAAATCTTATCTATTCTTATTTATTTAATTACATTTCTATAACTCTAAAAAATTATGATCCACTCCCACCGATGCCAAAGCATATCTTACATTAGACCTACCGTAAAATAAGGTTGGAAAAATAAGGACTCGTGCACTAAACAATTTGTAATTATTAATACTGCAACAAATTTTCATAATATAATGCGTATATATAATACATATGATTATTTTCGATTAATTTTTATATGGTTGTTATTGGAGTTTACATTACAGAAATAAGTATTGCCTTAATGTATTGAAAAAATTGTTGTTCAAAAAATATTGTGCGCATTTAGTTTAAAGTGGAATGTTTGATAAAAGATTTTTTTTCTGCACTTAAATAATACCTATATTAAGTGGAAAAATCTAATAGATAATATATATTTTGAAGTAGTTGTTTAGAGAATACTTCCCTTATCCTTCGTTTTCCAATTACACAAACTATTTGACTGCAAATGGTGCGTCAACATTCAATTGATAAGTAAATGTTTAAAATATATTTCTAAAATAAATTTTTTATACATTTTTAGTCCATATAGATGCAGTGTCAGGGCGAAATTTATTTTCCAATGAAGCAGTTACGTGTGTCAAGTTCCCACTCAAATCACAAGCCACAAGTTACAATTAATATTAACATTAACGGGTTCAAACCAAATAATGTGCAGTAATATTTTATGTTACATGTGCAAATTATATATTTAACTTTTTTGTCACCACCTACCCACCCCATTTTAGTCACGAAAAAACTGCTTCAATAAAACCCGCATCGCGCCGCCACTGTGGATATGGTATATATGTACATTACATTATAAGCAATAACACAATACATTTACATACTATTCGAATTTGAATAAATTTAACTTTTATTTTTCGAATAGAGGTACAATAAAATTAATCACTGAAAACTTTTTAAAAAGTTTTATAATACGTAGAGGTTTTGTTCATTAAAACTTTTCATTTGGTACTATTTTTTTTCTATAGACTATTGAATAAGTATAATTATCGATGTAGGTACCTAGTACTGCTATATCAGAAGTACGTCTACATGTTTTTGAACCAATTTCATGACAGTTAAAAGTTAAACTAAAATATAAAAACATGAGGTCACTAGTAAAGTTCTTAAAAAATAATTAAATATTATAATTTTGAAATATTTAATAAAAATTGCCTATATAGTACATCTTACAATCGTTACAATTCTAATTTAAAAATATCATAATACTGTGTAACAATGTTTATTCTACGAAAATAGTTGTGCCAACAAAATCTTAATCATATATTTACTAAAGATTTATGTATTTTATATTTAATAATAATAATTAATAATTTATGGATAAACAAATATGAAAAATGTATAGCATTTTGAATTGTTGGAAGTCTTGATAAACCTTAGCTTAAAATACTGCTAATTTATTTGAATTTATTTGATAAAAGGTGTTCGCTTTTTTATTAGTATAATAATAAAACAAAAAGAATTCCAAAGAATATTTTTATAATCATAATACAATATGGCCTTGAACGTTGTTTAAAATATATTGATATAATATAAAGTATCATATACCTACATTGCCATAGTAACAAAGAACAATTTTTGTTCACTGATTTAATGACATTTATACTATATCTTTAATATATTTTCGACTTTAAACATCATAAGTGTTTTATAATGTTGAAAATTTTATATTAAATATATATTTATTTATTTATCACACGTTAGTTTATTACTTACTGTTTGCAAAGAATAATAAATTCAGGTACCTATTGTTTAAATTATAGTTTCTCATTAGTGTAAGTTAACTATTATTTATTATAGACATAAAATATACTATGTCCATGGATATTAAATAATTTTCTATATACCCTAAATTACCTGCTATCATTACTAACAACTATAACTTGAATCTGAAATGGGAACAAATCGAATTAGATTAAATAAATACAATTTTAGTACACATAACAAAAAAAAAAAATGTTTTTCATATTGTGTAAAAATATGTTGTTATAAAAATAATAATTTTGGCGATCTAAAAGTAATTTTAATAACAATTATTGTTCTCGGACAATGACTTCCGCATATAAGTCACGTTTTACACTTAACGTCATCAAATCAACCGTCCGACGGGCCGTATCTAAAATACACGTGTGGTATTTATTTCGCGCGATTAAAATAATTTTAGAAAAAAATTTATTTAAGGTGTAATTTATAAATTATTAAAGGTAAAATTAAAAATGTTGAAAGCAAAACTCTATGAGTCAAGAACATCTTGAATCACTAATGTCGAATATGTAGAAGCAAAGATGTTCCTATTAATTTTTTTGAGAGTATACTTCGAGTATGTCATCAAATACCAAAATATAAACATTTAATACAATAAAAATATTTTTCTTATGGTTTATAGAAGTAAAACCGGTAAAGAGTGTGTCAATAATATGGAAACAATTTTAAATCAGATTTTTTAAATATCCTCTTTACATTACCTCGTAAATTTATACAAATATTAAGAAGATTAATAAAATACATTGGTTAAAAACATTTTCTGCAATTTATTTTCATCGTTTGATTCTTTTAGTTTCTTACAATCGATCTTTCAATCAAATCTTCACATAAGGTATATAGGTTTATCTGGTTAAAGCTGATATGTATAAAACTTTGCCTTGATATTTTTAAATAGATGACTGATTTTTCTGTAGTTATCTGGGGTACAGTGGCGCCCAGATAGGTTACCAAAGGGTGCAATTGCATGTGATCTCGTCAGGGTCGGGTGTATGGGTGGGTATATAATTGGACAACTTGGATACCAAACATTATGGAGTATGGTAAGCAAATAACATTATTATTATAACAAAAACATTATACCTATACGGCACTGGGTGTACCACATCTTCATTTTAATTAATTATAATAAATCTTAATTTCTTAAATTTATAGTTATTTTAAGAGTTAATTATAGTAACAAACAACAATTTAAACAGACATTTTTTTTATTTTTTTAAAAAAAAATTGGTTGGTGGGTGGGTGGGTGGGTGGGTAACTTTTTTTAGCTGCATGTGCTCTCAAAATACTTCTGTGCGCCACTGCTGAGGTATTAGTTTGGATTTTTAGAAAGTTGAAGTCGATTGGCACGAGAAGGCAGGGTCGGCGTTAGGGGGAGGCAAAACAGGGCATTTGTCTAGGACCTCGCACCTTCAAGGGCCTCGCGCTTAAAATTTTCAATGAAAAACATTTTGTACTGAAATCTCATAAAATATACGTGAAATTTGTGGATCCGCTTGGCGATTATGATTTCTAGAGAAATCCGTTGGCATGTAATAAAAAACCAATTAACAAATCAACAAAATTATATTTAAAATGTCATGTATGCACCAATGACAACCCGTACGGCATGCCGCACAATATGGAAATCGGAATACATAGAAGATTTATTTTATAGCATTTCTTAAATTTAATCACTCATTACTCGATATCGCGTGCAGCTGCCACCGAGTCTGATTACACGTTATCACCATTAATTGCAGCCTACAGGCTATAGGTGACTATTGTTGTCGGTAAAATAAGTTTTGCACAGGGCCTCGCAAAAGTTAACGCCGGCCCTGCGAGAAGGTATTAAAACCGATGATTTCTTTAAATTGATTTTGCAAGGCCTATATAATCAAGAACCCCTTTGATGAAGATGGGTGGAGGTAAAGTTATTTTAGTTGTATTGTTGGTAGCCTTCGGTTGCCCCTCGTTTAGATTAATATGGTTAATACGGATATTTGTTCTAAAAATAATGTTACTTATAATGTATTACTTATTTCGTACAAAATACAAATTGATAAATGACAATTTTTCCTATTGGTACTAGTAGTGATGAATGG